CTTCTATTTCAAGAGTAAATAAAACCAAAATTCAGAGTAACACATTTTTATTTCTTCCTTTTGAAATTCATATGTCATGCTGTGTTGTAGCCTTCTCATTATTCATGGCTTGTGCACACTTTACTCACATCATGACATACAAATTGCAATGTTAAGCATCCCTTATGTGATATCATTTTAATGTCTACTGACTGAATGATAGACAACACACTACTGTATAGTGGTGTGAGTGGTTAAAAAAGGTAATAAACACTAATAAAATGAACAAATTAATATAGTATTAAACTTTATATGTATCAATCATTTTATTAAGGTAACAAAACAAACACTCAAAATACACATTTTCTTGTACAATGTACTTTATATCGTATTGAACAATATTATAATAACATACTCTGTGATTGATGATGTATAAATAGGCCTACAATTGCAATATAGCTTTCATAAATAAATATTTGTAATACTTAAATACATTAATAATTATATATAAATATGTATTCAATATGCAATATTTTAAAGTACATATTAAAATATTTAATATATAATTTGTATTTTAAATATACGTATACACTATAAATAGATTTTCATGGTCACCAGTACTAGTTATCCATTTCTTCAATGCTGACTTAATACATACATTTTCACCATTAAACAGTGACCTCATTTTATTTGGAATATTATTAAACAGTTTTGCTAAATATTTCCTTTTTTTGATGTAGGAATTTGAAATACTTCAGCACTTGTTTCATGTATTGGTTTTATTTTTATGTATTCCACATATTTTAGCTAAATGTATTATATATAAATACAATTTAAATAATAAATCTAATTTGAAATATATTAAAGACAGTCATATTTTTATTCTTTTGCTATTATGCTAATTTTTGCTGATAAGTATTAATGGATAATTTATTCTATGTTGTCCTCCAATATATTTGTATAAATTTCATGATTTAGCTTTCCCACGACACAGAATTTGAAACTTGTATTTTTATAACACGCTTGTTTCAGTTAAGTGAAAGGAACTATACCAGTATAATTTTTTGAGTAACAGTTTCTCAAAATATCAATCTTTAACAATGCTATCCTTTACATACTATTAGTACATGTAGTATCATTTAGCTCATTATGTTTGGCAATGTCTTTCACTTGATGCTATTTCTAAGTAAGGAGTTTCTTCATATAGCTTAAAGTGCAGGTGTTAACAGGTCTCTCGTATCCATGCTTTTGTTTATTTCAAATATCTTGCAAATAGCCAAACACTTTCTTTGCACACGTGCATAATTAACAACATATTCTGTAGAAAAGCTCAAATGTGACATTTATAAACACAAACTTTTAAAATACACACAGTATTGTGCAGATGGTGCAACACCCAGAAATAACACATTGTTTACAGAAAGTTTGGAAACTTGAGGTTTATTTTATTACTAAAGTGTGTTGCCTAAAGAAAGTATGTTTGGAAAATTTTGGTTTATTTCATTATAATACTAACATATTAAAAGTATATAACTGTAAATACGATTCAAAAAAGTAGTTTTCACTCACTACAACTTAAAAGTTTCGAACTTCAACAGTGCCTACATATTACTGTGAAACAGAAAAATTAACATGTTACAGTCTTTATATTCTTAAATTACATTAATTAATTTGAGCATTATTATTTATTAATTTGAGCTTTAGTGGTTTGTATTAAAAAGAGATAATTGAAGTATATAATTTATGGTGTATATTAATGAATGATAATTCTTTAAAGAACTATTAAATGTCCTATAATTACTAATTCTCTAATGTATTTCAAATCTACTCAGAAAATTGTGTATCAGAAATAAAGACTAGCCTATAGGCTTTATGGTAAGTACATATGCTCTAAGGAGGGGAAAAATACACACATTTGTAATCAAAACAGGTAAAAAATAAAAATAAAAGAAGAAAAATATTCTCTATTTTGATAATGGAATGCTAAAGTGCAGTTTAATATAAAAAAAATTTAAATCTTACTTTCCTAACTTAATTGTTGACATAAACACTTTTAATGTGCAATTACAAAAACATGTAATAAGCACAGGAGTGTCAGGAATTGGCATTTTGCTAATTCAAAATAATAAATTGTTGGCTCATTTTGCACAAGAATATTATTGCATACAAAATAATGACTAATTTGATATCTATGATAATCTTGTTCTCCTTTACCTCTTAAAAAGTTAAATGCACATGCTGTTATGCTTATTGTTCCTTTTTATAGTTAAGATGCACCTAAAATATCCACATGCTTGACTGCCTAAATGTAGTTGTATACATTCTGTTCATTGTGTGATTGATTGCCTCGAGACAGTTGTTTTCATACAAAATCGTAAGCTCAATCCCAAGAACTAAGCATATGTTAACCTCTAGTAATCTCACTAGACACTTTTATACTTAGTATATACCTTATTTATAATTCATGCCAGCAAGTAATTGTCATTCCACTGACAAAAGTTCAGTAATATTTCTAGGGAATACCCAAGGAACACAATCATATTTTCAGGTTGCTACAGATTTTATACTATGTCATATGTATGGTACATTTTCATTTACAATAGTTTATGATTAAAAAAGTAACATAATCCCAACTTATTGTACCTGAAGACAGGGTTTCCTTTAACTATTGATATTTTTTCATCATCGCTTTTATGAAATGAATTATTTTTAGACATTCTATATTTTTTAAGCCACAAACTTTTAAGTCAATTGTATATGTTAATTCTAACTCTTTTTCACCAATTTAATTCAAAAGTATTTTAGAATTAATATTGTCATTTTCTAAAATTTATTTTGTATTACCCACGAAGAAAAAAAAAATTTAATTCAAAATTTAATTTCTGTACAACTTTGAGGAGTTTTGCATATAACAACATGTTGATTTTTTTTTAATTTTTCTGCCCATCTCAAAGAATATCTATATTTTTGCTAAGGAACTATCACCTCTTCAGAATATATTATTAATTTCTTACTTTTAACACATTTTCCCTTGTTTTTTTTTTTCTACTTAGTTTTTGTAAATTTTCTAAATTTCTCCTGTGACATGTAAATAAAAATAGTGACACTTATTGACAGGGGCTGTAAAAAAGAATTAGTGAGATAGCATTTATGTGAGCTCGCAGGTGCAAATGCAATTACACCCATCAAAATAGAAATGCTAATTTGATACATACACCATCTTTGGTTGAAGGGTTTTTTTTTCTTTTGAAAGTGTAATCTTAGTTTACCATTAAATGGTCATGATATGTGCTTTCTCCCTTTATGTTATACTTCACACGACATAATGCTTGTATTCATTCATGTTAAATGAATGATGTCTTCTACAATTATTTAAATTTGAGTCTTATAAACCATTCAATATACAATGTTGTGAATTGTTATTGGTTCCATAACTACAAAACAGTCTCAGTTTCACTAGATAATGCAATTTCTAATGTGTAACCACGCAAATGGTTCTTCTGAGCAAATTACAATTTCAATTGCTCATGTCTAAAGTAAATATATGTTCTGTGATAACTTGTTCAGTAGTTATCTTTACAAGTTCTAAGTTTAAATCACAAGGTAAAAAATTTAAACACTTCAAGGTAAGACATAAGACAGATCTTGACACTTTAAAATGAATACCTTTCACAACAAAATAACCAACACCAACTTTATATAATATCATACTTTAATACTTACCACATTTTGTAATGATAAGCAAAACACTTAAGACTGAAGTAGTTTAAAGATGATGCCCTTTCTTTAAAAAAACTGATGCATAGTCCACAAAATTACCTTAAGTGTGAAAAATGCATAAGTATGCCTATACAGGATTCTGTACCCATGTAAAAAATAAAGATGTGGCAATGCACAAGCTAATTTCTTCAACAATACTTGTGGTAGTTTCATTACAGGTAAAACAACTTCAATAGTAAATATGCTTTGGCCATTACTTGTAAACAAATTTCCCCTTGTCCTTTCTAATTTATTATATGTAAATATTTTAAGATAATCCTTGTTTACAATTCTTAAAATACTGAAACAACTTCAATATTAAATCTGTTTTGGCTATTACTTGTAGGCAAATTTCTCATCTTATAGTTATAAATGATAATCCTAACATATTTATAGATATTTTAAATAATTGTTTACAATTCTTGAAGTACTTTTAACATTTTTTATAGGCATTCAACAATATACTAACAGCAACTTAAGTTAATCAAATGTAAAAACTTATCAGTAGACAGTGCTTTAAACTATACTAAGTGTATTATACAATTAGTAATATTAATACTATAACAGGGTAACCTAAATGCATTTGGACTCTAAACTAAAGTCTAATGTTTGAGCATGTATAAGAGATATTTATTTCCCGGCATTGTGACACTGACAGCAAATTTCATAGAAATGACACACTGTAAACACAACTTCACAAGTGAATATAAGCTACAAGTATAATCAAGGAACAGGTCAGTTAAAAGTAAAACATACTTATTTCATTGTGAGGAATTTTATTGCTTTTGTTCCTGTAAATGTAATGAATGGTAATAGTAAACACGAATTAGATTATAGATATATGATGCATCATTTAATATTACAACAAAAATGAAAAGTCTAATTTAAAACAAAATACTTCAAGCTCAAAGTTCAAATAGGTTCAACTTTAGTTCAAACGAACGATAAGAAATAGTTTTGGACTACGTTTCGTGCATCTTAGTAACAGTAATACTATTAATAGTACTCAGCAGCAATAATATGAGCTTAGGGCTAGGCCTACACAGACTCTACCTTCTATACACTATACAGTCTACTGTATCTAACGTTAGACGTATTGAAAGTACCACTACTGAGTACTAGTACTATTCCGTACTCGTTTAAACACCCATGATTATATTCAACTTTCACGTTTCATGATTCAGTCTACACTAAAATTTACCTTTCAGCCTAAGAATTATTATCTTTATTTACTCACATATAATATACAGCTTTCGACTTACCTAAAGCCCCAATATTCAAACAACCTGAAGAATTAACACACGAATTTCACAAACAACTCTCTAACGTTCCGAAAGTTCAATTTTTTGACTTCGGTTCACTGGGATTTTTACTTATGCTGATACTTCAATAGTGCCCTCTAGAATCATAAATACTACACATAATATTATGTCAAAAAATCGGTAAAATGAAATTCAATCTATGAACAGAACTAACAGAAGTATTTGCATTCTCTTTTGTAAAAACTAATTTTAATGAATATAACATCTCAATATTCAATTTATGATGCAATAGTGCATGATTGTCACTGACGTTTGTTTGTTGAATTTCTCGCAAGTCTATACAAGCTGCACTTGTCTGACCGATTAGTGAGATTTATTTCATTTCACTTTTTTTTTGTCAATTTTTGGACGCGATAGTTGGAGCCTCAAATCTACAATCCAAAATGCAAACCATTGGCTCATGGTCGGGCCATTACCAACGTTAAAGATATAAAATATAGCTATTATAATTACATCCTATCTTTTATTGGGACCGAGCGTGGCCTGCAGCTGAGTTGTGGATCGGCCAACCCTGATGTGCCCTTGAACATTCTCCACATTTTCAGTTGTAGGGGTGTTATAATTGTAACAGTTACTCTCGCTATCATAGACGGCGGTTGCTTTTCACTTGTTCTCTCTGGTCAGTAGTTCTAACCATAGGGACCTCTGTACTAGTTGTTTAGCTCATGTGTCGCAAAGGTGTAGTTCAGGTTTAAAATGTTAGATAACGTCTCTTTCTTTTAATTTACGAATAACCAGCCAGATAAAATGAGGAAAACTCCTCTAAATAGATTAATTTGAAATCATAAGGATAAGAACTATTTAGATTGATAATACAATATGGTTTAACTCAACTTTATTTTCATTAATTAAAGGTGACAATTGATGACATTTGCCTTTTAAACGTAGCAGAGCTTTATTGAAACCCTTTCAGTAAAATTCTACTATCTCTGTAAGGCAATTGGCGCTTATTTCCATTTTTGTTTCACCGTAAATACACTGCCTAAAACATCGATTGACTAGAACTTAATTCTATATTTTCATTTTCGTAGACAACACACACTAAGGTATTCTTACGTATCTGCTCGTTTGTTAATTTCCGGTATAAATTATTTCCGAGGAACTTCAGCGATACAAGTCCTTTCTTAATTAAAACTACTTTATTCTTTCTCGATACAACTTTGTAATACACATAATTTCTACAGTCACTTTAAACTTAACAACCTTCATAACACACGCTATAAATCACAGTGATTCACACACTTTACTTACGATGTCTACTGTTCGCTTGACTCAATTATCTCTATCTTCAATCTATCTCGCTGGCTTTATTCGCCGGGCTTATATACTAAAAAAGAGGGAGCCTGGGAAACACTCGGACATTCGCGAGGTTTCTCGATAAGTTATGATCCTTCTAGAAACTTCAGGGCGCATGCTCCCAGCGTTGCTTGACTTCCGCTGTCGTAACAGTATCTTAAAATGTAAACTAAATTATAATTCTGATAAAGAATAAGATAAAAATTATGTTAATCAGAAGATGTTATTGAAAACGGGAATAGAATTGAAAGTTTCAACTTGAACGGCACCTTAAGTTCATGTGGATTAAACGTCCAGTTTAGAAATCCACAAGATTCTGGTATAGCCGCACCTAATTTTGAATTAGTGATCAGGAGGAAGGCAGCTATCCACTAGCATCCGGTGACCCAAGATTTTTGTCTGTCTCTCTGAAACGAATAACAAGATTGATTGTCCTTTTTATAACGAGAAATAACATTTTGAATACCGGACCCTTCAATCTGCAGCTTGACACGCAAAGAAAAAGATAAGACATAGATTTATACAAAGAACAAATTTATAATGTTACTTTCACAATCATCACTACAAATAAACAATACAATTCAACACAATGTACTAAACAATAAACTATTGGTCAAATGATAGTTTGTGTGTAAATGTATATACCACTAACAAGAGCTGAAGAAGATTTTATTACAAAACTCCTGTCAATGCGTGTAGATCCCCTTTGTTGATTAAATTAAATGAAATTAAGGAGGAGAAGATATTATATTGTGTTAATTTAATTTATATAAAAACTCTATGTGAAATCCAATATTCTACTTGTATTTTATTAATTAAGCTTAAAAAAGAAACTTTAAATTTTGATCAGTGAAGTCAATGCTACACCCTAAATCTGTTCACCCTTACTGTGAAGCAACGCAACCGTAAATTAAACGTGAAAAAACATACGCGACAATAACATTTTAAATCTTGTTCGAGGCGAACACGAGAACAATAACAACTTTAAACGAGTGGTAAGTATAAACAATTTCTGCCTGGTACTTATTGGAACACCACTGCGAAAAACAGCTGAAAACTATATCTTCTATCTAGAAACCTGCATTAAAATCTATGGAAATCCTGTGTGAAATGTGATATTTTCTGCCAAAGTTGTATAAAATATGCTCTCCAAAACCACCACTTTGTGTTAAATGTGTCAATAAACCCTTAAGTTTCTAAAACACATACAAAAAAAAAGTGATTGGTTCTTGTTAGAACAACTGGCCAACGGGCGGTGAAGATCAAGGGCGATTCTATTTGCAACTACTGTCTGAATGGCCAACAAAAATAATCAAACTAGCTAATTAAAACATTGTTATAAGGGACCAGATCTCTTAATATCCAGTTAACCTAGTTTGCTTCTTAAGGAAAGCTAAAGTTAGTAACTCATTTGAACGTCTCTCTGCATCCAATCAGGAAATATTAAAAGAACAAAAGTAGAAAACATAAACTTTTTGCAGAGTTCCGAGTTCTAGGCTTGAAAATATAATCTTTGCATTTTAATTCAACTTTTTTCTGTACGTTTTGATGATCCCTATTCCCTCTTTTTAACTTAACAATTTTTACTAATCTCGTCTTATAATTGAAGGCATGTACATTGTCATGTTTTAGTGGGAAAAATTACATAGAATGTTTAAATTTAAGTCAAAAGTTACGCGATTCGAAAGATGATGATCTAGCCTCTAGATGCTCAAGACAACAAGATAAACTGCATAAATTTATGTTGTTCTCTAAAAAAGTCGTGATTGTTAACTGATAGGAGATCATCACTCTAAAAAATATTAAATTGCTATTTTTAGAATCGCTACTGTGAATGAAGAATTGAGATCAGAAGTATTAAAAATATAAATCTGCTAAATTTAAGTTAAATATGCTTCCTTGGTTATGTGTTTAATTGGATTATAAACTTTAATGTGGACTTAAAAGTAACATTTATGAACACAAGTTGCAGGCGTTGAAACTATTCTGGTGTTAAGAGAAAACCGGTTTGGCTTTGCAGCAGTATCAACACTACCTTCTTGTTGTTTTAAGTACTTTATTACAATCTGGTTAGTTGTAGTGTCTATTCATATTATTCAAAACTATTTTAGCAGGTTTGTTCGAATGTAAAGATGCATTTTCACTGATGCTATTAACAGAACTGGCTACAAACTTAAATTCAACAAGCATTTTACATAACTTCAACAATGCTTACTCAGTGTAAGAGCTCCAAAACTCTTAACACCAAATAAGTGTGTGCGTGTGTGTTTTGTTATTGCAAAGCCACGTCGGGTTATCTGCTGTGTCCACTGAGTGGAATCGAACCCTTGATTTTAGCGTTGTAAATCCGAAGATTTATCGCGGGTCATGAGTTCGAGTCCTCGATCCACCAAATATGCTCGCTCTTTCAGCCGTGGGGTTGTTATAATGTGACGGTCAATCGAACTATTCGTTGTTAAAATGGGACAATAGTAAATAAACTCCCAATAGTTGAAAAATGTAAAAAACACATTTATTTTCTGTACTAAATTTTACAAAGGTATTTTGAATATTTTTGAGTAGTTATCCAAAAAAAAAAAAAGGAAAAGTTATTATTACTCTAATAATACGAGGAATGAGGTACATATTTTGTAAACATTTAATTTTTGTTGGGAAGTTTTTGTTTAGGCAAATATTATAAAAGCATAACAGGTACATATTTTGTAAACATTTAATTTTTGTTGGGAAGTTTTTGTTTAGGCAAATATTATAAAAGCATAACAGGTACATATTTTGTAAACATTTAATTTTTGTTGGGAAGTTTTTGTTTAGGCAAATATTATAAAAGCATAACAGCAATTATGTAACTTTTTACTTTAAAAGTGTTGCGGTTTTACTGATAAGTTCTCTGGTGGCTCAGCGACAAGTCTCAGAGATTATAACGTAAAATTTGGAGTTTGATCCCCGCAACATAAATAGTGCAATTAGTCATTATGTATTTTTGCACTAAAAGAAACAAACCTTCTTACCGATAAATATGTTCAAAATTTTATAAAATATGAATAGGTAATCAGCATTTATCTATCGCAGAAACTAATCGAAACATTATGCAACTTTAAGAATCCACAAATGAAAGCAAAGGGAAATGTTTTAAAACATGTCAATCTCAAGCACAGTGCCGACGAGGCTTTTCGTCCAATACTAGAGCTCATCAGGCTAGCTGAGATACGACGCAATAGCAGACCAGGCGCTATATATAAATATATCATAAATTTTTATGTCCAACAACTCTCAGGGTGGCAATCAATTTAAACAAGTGAACTGTGATTATTAAGTTTGTTTGAATTTATGCACAAAGCTACACAAAGGGCTATCTGTGCTCTGCCCACCACGGGTATCGAAACCCGGATTCTAGCGTTGTAAGACTACAAAGAGCTAAGGAGTCTAATAAAAATATAAAAACTAAGAACCTACTAAAACATGCAACATTTTATTCCACTATCAAAACTAGGAACCTACTAAGGTCCGCAGACATACCGCTGTGCCACTGGGGGGCGTGATTATTAAGAACTTTATGTAAGTCATTTACAAATCGTTTCATTTTCGCCTCTGTTTCTGCAGATGAATGTAAATACTTTATAATTTCATAAGATGGTATAAAAGATAAAATTTAAGTTTCTAAATCTTTTTTTTCTTTTTGCGGTTTACTAAAATCGTCTTCACAAAAGCTTTTCTAAAAAGAGAGCCTACAGTGTTCGACAAGACTCAGAAAAACTTGCATAGCAGAGCGTTTAGGGTCTGAAAATAAATCTCAAGCCAATCAAGAGAAGCACTCTTACCCAAAAAGTTAAGGCTTTTATTACAAAAGTGAAACTTGTAACCAAACAAGCCGGTGTAACAAATCTAGGTATATCTACTGGTACCTGGACTGGTATGGCCAGGTGGTTAGGGCGCTCGACTCGCAATCTGCGGGTCGTGGGTTAGAATCTCCGTTCCACCAAATATGCTCGCCCTTTCAGCCATGGGGGCGTTATAATGTGACGATCAATCCCACTATTCGTTGGTAAAAGAGTTGGCGATGGGTGGTGATGACTAGCTGCCTTCCCTTTAGTATTTCACTTCTAAATTAGGGATGGCTAGTGCAGATAGCCCTCGTGTAGCTGTGCGCAAAATTCTAAACAGATCCAAACTACTGGTATCGATAATAAACAAAGTTAAATTCACAAGCTTCCAGTCACATCTCGATATCAACAACTATTTTCATGAGAAAGATGGATGAAGAAACTATTCATTCTCACATCTTTCAAGTGTTCTAATGCAGTTCCATTGGATGTCAGTACATTTGATACAAAACGTGATGTACTTGTACAATGGGGGTTTATGAATATGTGTAGTTTAAGATTGATGTCGCTATCATTCACAGAAGCTTGTTGCGATCAAAGTAGCAGGGCTGGAAAACAATGAATTATGGCTATTGACGTTAGAATAAATAATTCCAAGATGAAGCACCATTCTTATAAAGTGCAATGACCCCTCTGTAGACCATCAGACACGTTTAATTTAGGTTTTTATAAAACATACTGTATATATTGATGACTAACCTAGAATTTGAAATAATGCTGTATTGTTGTCCTTTTTATTAGTTATGGTTATGGTGACTCGCTACTGGTTAGTTGGGAAAGACAAAAGCAGATCATTTGTATTTAACCCTAAATGTGTCGAAAGTAGGCATTATGTTTACTTATCTCATATATTTTTAGAGTAGTTGTATTTTGAACTTTCTCAAACTTACGGGCATCGTTTGATTTTATTAAAAACACATACTTAACTTTAAAAAGTTTATGTTTGATAATTCCCCACATTTACCTAGTGTTTGTTAAAGCAGCTATAAATATCGAATCTATGTTTTTAATTACTACAGTTTTAACCAAAATATTTGCATATTTTGTAACAAATATAATCATTATTATTAATATAGAATACAAATACACTTAGCGCTGTCAAACTGAGAAATGCATATTATAATTAACATTTACATATGTAATTTGTATAATGAGACAGGTTCTGTGTACATCATGAACGATTTATTGGAACAGCAAACAATTTTATCAGTCACATGTAGAAAGAAGTACAATTCAGTATTTCACCTATCACAACATAACCTTAACAAAACACACATAAAGACAAAATATAACATCAAGTTCTTATAAATAACGTCTGTAACTTTATATTAGTTCATATTAAGCATTCAGTATTTGGTTGGAGATCCTCGTACTCTAATAACTTGTGCAAGGCGACGTGGCATGCTGTTGATGAGTTTATCGATGTAATCCACCATGATTTCATTCCAACTTTTCATTAGAAAGCGCTGCAATTCAGCTACAGTAGCTGGTTTAGGGTCGGGCTTAGCAATTTGCAGCTCAGTGCTGCCCAACAGTTCTCAAAGGGATTACAATCTGGAGACTTTTCTGGCTATAGCAATCTTGTAACATTCTCCTGGTCAAGATAATCCTGTACAATACATGCACTGTAGGCAGTGGCATTGTCATCCTGGAACACAGAGCTATTGCCAAATCTTGCCCTAGCATGA